TAGTTCACCTGTAGCAATTCTGGGTTTTGAGCACTAGGTGCCCCATGGCCAGTCCCTGCGCTGTGGGAGAAGGGTGGCTGTCACAAATTGCAGTGAGGTGTGGCCGGGTGGTGCCGAGTAGCCAAGACAGCTTGGAAGAGACTGGCTCAGACAACAATCCTATTCACCACAGACGGATTCTGAACAGGATGCCCCTGGGAGACAAAGCACTCCAGACACAGCGGGAAGCATCCTTCGTTAGGAAGAGACTAAAATATGATTTGTGTTGCACAAATAGACAATATTCTTTGAATTTGAATGCTCTCCAGTTCACTCTGTGGTATCCATTACAGCTGTGTTTTAACAGCACTTTCATGGGCTGAGAAAGGAAGGGCACTGCAGGGAATCAGATGTGCCCGTTTAGGAGATTTTTTTTAGGCATGAAGTGTTTTCAGCTTCTATCAAAAGGCTATTGCCAATTCAGATCAGATCCTACATTCGCATATAAGGCAAGTAAGGTGATTTGCTAACAACCTGTCGTGGTTTAATCTCAGTCGGCAACTGAGCACCACGCAGCCGCTCGCTCACTCCCCCCCGGTGGGATGGGGGAGAGAATCAGAAGGGTAAAAGTGAGAAAAACTCATGGGTTGAGATAAAGACAGTTTAATAGGGAAAGCAAAAACCGCGCACGCAAGCAAAGCCAAACAAGGAATTCATTCACTGCTAAACGTCCCCCCTTTCCTCCTGCTTTCCCCAGCTTTATATATTGAGCATGACGCCCCATGGTATGGAATGTCCCTCTGGCCAGTTGGGGTCAGCTGTCCTGGCTGTGCCCCCTCCCAGCTTCTTGTGCACCTCCAGCCTGCTCAGTCGGTAGAGCACGGGAAGCTGAAAAGTCCTTGGCTAGTGTAAGCACTGCTTAGCAACAACTAAACCATCGGTGCGTTATCAACTTTGTTCTCCTCCTAAATCCAAAACACAGCACTGTACCAGCTACTAGGAAGGAAATTAACTCTATCCCTGCCGAAACCAGGACACAACCCTTCTGAAACATCACATTAACTCTGTGATTTGCTGCACCACAACGCATCATAACGTGAAGTTCATTGGCAGTGAGGGGTTGTTAACCTCTGATTTTCTAAGCCATCAGCCAAGAGAATAACTCCTGCTTGTTGGTATGTGTGACCCTACCATATCATCACTGCACTGGGACCACAAGAGTTGGTCTAGACAACTTATTTGACTGGTAACATTCGTCCTCTTAAAACACCTGTGAAACGTGCTCAACCCCATTTCAGAGATGGGGAACTGAGGCACACAAGAACTAAGGACTGGATCTGCAATGAGACTTAGGTACCTTGTTTGTCCAACACCTAGCTACTATGGAGGCCGTCAGATCCTTGTCCAGTTTTCATCTAAATGGTCACTCCAGAGAAGTTTCTTCTACCAAAGGCTAGTATCTGTAAGGCTATTTGCCCCAGACTCTCCCATAGATCTTGAAGATCTACTCAACAGTCAGTGGAGCTGCGGTTGCAATTCACCTCATCTGAAGTACTAACCAAATCACCACTAAATCACGTAAGGAAAGCTCACATCATCTTCACAAGATAAGGTTCTCATGATTATTATTCAATTTTTTCACCTGCTTTCTAATTCCCCCCCTTACACTTCACTTTTAGAGCCTTTTCAGGAGCTGGAAACTAGAGCGCTCTTCATGTTGCATCAGACACGTTCCCCTCTCTACCCAAATCCCCTCTCTTTTTGTAGACAAACACTAAACAGGACATTATCACATCTTTTCTGACCTTTGATATAGTACAAGCCACAGAATTTAATTCAAAGACCTCCTTGTTAGCCTGAATAACTTAACTGATTAAGACGTGCTTTCCTGAATGACAACCAGGCTTAACGTAACATCTACAAGACAATTTAAGAGCAGGTTTCTTTAGTCAAACTTGTCATTAGTGACTCAAAATATCTATTCTATATCTAATCTATATCTATTCTGCTTAGAAAAAGTACTATTTATGAGTGAAGAAAAATACCAGAACTCTCTCAGCTCATTTTTTACATTTCATTTTAATTCATTACTAATTCATTTCAAGACTTTTGTTTAATGGAGAACATCACTAAAAAATTGACTTCCCTAAAACAAATACAAATTGAAAGAAAAAGTACACTTACAGCTAGGAAAAGTCCACTTAACTGTAAAAATAAAGATATTTTTAAGGAACGGAGGCATTTGGTATCCTGTCTCCTACTCAGATTATTTTCCAGATTACAATATACATATATATGTATATATGCGTGAAAGTACAAAAGGAACCTGCAAGCTACAACATAAAAAGAAATGAAACAGCACCACCTTGCCAGCAAGCAGTCTCGTGGTTTATTCACGTGAAGGCAGAAACGAGAGAAGCCAGGACCTGGACTCACAGCACAACTGGATTGTCTCTACACATTTAATGTGTTCTCAAGTAGTGCAAGGGCTCCCAGCAATTACAGGTTACCTAAATTCTTCACTGCAAACAGCTGTTTGTTCATTGCTGTTATTTTTATATATACATAAAAACAGTAGGATCCCTGGTCTAAGCTTTAATCTCAACTCCTTGATGCTGTCTGTGTTGTTTAGTCTCCCTACAGTATATTCTCCTTTCTGCTATGAATCTCTCACACTGCTGGAGCTGTGAGAATCTGGGCTACAGAACTGGAGCCTCTAGCTCAAAATGACCCGTTTTGAACCATTTTTCCTTGCATTTCCCGAAATCTGACATCGGTGCTTTCTGACATTAACTTTACAGGGTTGAAGCAACATGATTGAAAACCCCAGTACTTAAATGCAACTCGAATAGCCGTCCCACGTTCAGCTTTGCTGTTTCGACAGCTAGAGAATATGCTGTGCGGAAATTGCTGCCTGCACATTGTACTACCTTTCAAAGGTCCATCAACTCCTCACTCCCCAGTTATAATGGGTTTTAAGTCAAGTGTCCTTTCTCAACTTATAAATGAGTTCCAGTATCTGTCCCTGTATCAAATCCACATGGCACTTCCCTTCAAAATATCTCGAGGCAAAAGTAAGGAAGCAGCAATGTTCCTCTGTTACCAGTGGGGAAACTGAGGCACTGGGTGCTCATACGACATGAGGCAGACAGTGCAAGGTGTAGATATGAGATTTCCCAATTTTGTTTCATACCTATGGATGACGAAGTCACTGCTGTGAAATTGCTATGAAGTCTAGTGCCATTTGAGATGTCCTACAGTACCCGACATGAGTACAGGAGCTGGCATGTATGACGCGGTGCAAGACCTGTGCCCTGTTGGGTGGGCAGATGCAGCATACTCCACAACACTTTAGGCAAGACTAGATGCCTGTATTTAAGAGGTTGAATCCTACCCCCACTCACATCTTTAAAGCCAAGGAGCTATGAAACAACACCACAGAACTGCAGGTTACTCAAGTTTTGGAGTCCTCCCCTCCAGAGGAGTATTCCCTGTCTAGAAAGGGGGGTTAAGGCAACATCAGACTGCAGGCATTCAGAGCTTGGAAACGAGCCCACACAGAGTTACATGCCTGGAGGAGCTCCACAACAGGACAACTGGGGACAAGATTCACATCTTTTCTTGTAGCAGACCCAGAGCCAGCCCTGCCTGCAGGTCAGGTGAGCCAGGCTTGGCCAGGGCCATCTCTGCCCAGCAGACAAATCCTCTACCCCTACATCAGCTTTAGTGGGGCCAAGGCAGAACAGACAAGTTACCTGGTCCTTTCCTGCACTGCTCCTTCAGACAGTGGGGTAGCTGGAGGCTGTGGCAGTCACTATGCAGTTAAAGAAGGTGGAAACCAAGTGTGCACCATGCCCTAGTCTTCCTCTCAGGCCCTGTGAAGTCTGAGCAGAGAAAAAGGGACTGATGTGGGGTCAGGAAGGGAACGTGCATGAAGAAGGGGAGCAGACCCAACACCTTTCAGCACCAAAACGCCAGTCTGAGCCAGGGAAGCAGCTGCCTTGTTCCTCTGGCAGGTCTTGCAATATAGCACGAAGAGAAAAATAGAAAGAAACAACCAAACTCAAAGGTCGGCATCGACTGCTGTCTCACACACAATAACTTCTGGCACATTTGATCTAGCAGTTCTTCTGCAGTATTTCTCCAGGGTTCAGGAGAAAGGAAGAAATTACTCTCCAGGCACCCAGAGCATCCTCCTCCTGGAGGTCGGGATGCTGGGGCCAACAGTGAGATAGCACAACAAGGGCTGATCCCTGTCCAGTGAGAGCTGCTTTAAGCCAAGGCTCTAGTGTTTGGCCCCTGCCTGAGCTACAGCCTTGCCTGTGCCTGGCCATGGGCTCTGCTGACCCTTGAACCTGCCCCATCACTACGGACACGTCTGGTGCCCTGGGCTCTCTGCTCACCCTGGCTGCCACCCTGGGCTTGCCCCACTCCCCCTGTTTGGGTATGGTGGGATGGGGTCTTGCTGGTGAGACCCCTGCCCTGCTGTTTGTGTTCTCCCCCTCAGCTTCCCATCTTTACAGAGCAGCTGGCTCTCATTGCGCCCCGACGTTTAGCTCTTTTCCTCCTTCCCCTCTCATCGAGCCCTAGCAGAGCAGATACCACTGCAGCGCAACTTGTGAAGAAGTCTTTTCAAAAAAGAGAAAAAGCCAAATTGTACTTTGCAGCTGAGTCTTAAAAAATATCTTTTAAAGATAGGAATGCAAAATAAGAAATTTCCTCCTGACGCCAGGTAATGGACTCTTTAGATAAAGCTGGGACTTTAAGAAATAACAGCAAAAAGATTTGCTTTGTGGTCATGAAAACCAGCAATACTTCAGATAAATTTCAAAATGGCAAAAGCTTTAGATACATGCTTTTTAGCCAAGTCTCTGTTCCTCAAAGATTCCCAAATTGTTGGGGGACCAGTAAACTGGGGTCCACCATCTCCTGTGCTATTGGCATCATTCTGACTGTTTTAGGGACCCTTGCAAATCTTAAACCACATTTCTCTTTTTTTTTTTTTTCTCCCTCTTTCCCAGGCCACCACAGAACCCCCAAAAAAGAAACCGGACCCTGTCACTTCGGAGACGGTGGTGATCTGGGGGCTGCGCCTCTGGCAGGTGATTGGTATCTTTGCCATCTTTGTCCTGGCAGTCAGTAAGTCATAATTCTCTGCCTTGCACCAACCACACCACCACCCCAAGTAGGACCTGTTCCTGGAGGACTACAGACCAAATGGCCATGGAGGTCACAGGCTGAGGCTCTTTGGTATCTGGCATCGCAGGGTCACACACAGGGGGTTTTGCAGCAGGGAAAGGCAGGTGTGGCCTTTGAAGGAATCACAGATGGGCCACCATGGCTTCATCTTGTAACAGGTCCTAGCTGGTGGCATCCCAGAGAAGAAGAGGGACTATAGGGCTGTGCCACAGCTGGGACTGTTTTCAGCTGCAGTACCACATTCAGACCCAAATGCATGTTATAGCCATGGTCCTGCCCTGTCACACAACCATACAAACTATATGTGACCTCTTGTGGTGCTGTCCCACGTGCTGAGATAAGAAGCCTCAAGAGGTCTGCAGTCACAGCCAGGTCTGGCGTTAAGGTCTCTAACTCCTATTCCGAGTGCCAAGACTCTCACTTCATTTTAGGAGGGCTTTCAGGACTTAAAAACCTCCTTTTTTTTGGACCCAGGCACTAGGAAGCCACTGGCTCAGACCCGGTGACTGCAGTGGGATGGGATCAGACACTCTCCCAGCACACCTTGAGGATCTGTCTGGGTATGGCTGATTCCCCACCTGAGTGTCTTCATCCAGCTTCATCCCCTTGCAGCTCACGCTCTGGAAAGAGTGTAAGCCAGCTTCACTGTGCATTGCAAACTACTATCATGAGCTTCCTTATGAGAATATCACTTAGGACACTATCATAACCCCGTCAAAATTCAAAGGAAGGATCTTCTGCTCTCTCCTTGAGCCAACTATAACTTCATATAAAAAAACAGATCAGTTTGATATGAGTCAAACATGATAAACCCGTTTCTCTCCCATCTTCTTGTTACTCTCTAGACTTTTGCAAAGTGTATAACTAATTCATTTCTTCCAGCAAATGAAGTTACACTGACTCATCTACAATTCCCTTGAACCTCCTCTTTTTCCTGTTAGGGACAGGTGAGCAGAGGGACAGAGCCTGTCCCCAGTCCCTGCAGGTAAATCCCATCAACTCGGAGGTCGCCTCAAATCCTTACCCACTCCAGGAAGGACATCATCCAGCCGCATGGACTTAGACACATCTAAATCTTCTATGCATTTTTTACCATTCTCTTCTCATTCTTCCTTGTGGCCCTAATTGCTTGTTAAAATTAATTTCATAAGTGGAGTAATGAAGCATTTTAAAGTGACTAAAGGAAGTGCCCTAGCTTTCTGCATCACTTCTGCTCTCATTCCTCATAAGTGATGAGCACTCTCCAAAACAGAGTGGCCACATGCAAGCTCCTGGTGAGGAACAGCCACAGGTGAAACCAACCCTGACCTACAAGCAGCCGTTGTTTAGAACATGGGTTTGCCGGGCCAGCTCTAAGAACATAGTATTGCAGACAACTGATTTCTAGTGCTCCCTGTTATTTTTTAATTTGCTGCTAAACCTGCATCTAGAGGTAGCCCCAATCTAATCGAAGAGCACAGCAGTCTGTGTGTCATTGTCTCTGCTGGTATTGGATGAATCAAGTCACTTCTTGTTGCCACGGCCACCTCTTTGGCTGCTGTGGGTAGCCTGTATCAGTCCTTCCCTGACAACCTTCCTATTCCGTTCCCATGCTCTGTTGAAACCAGACATTCACATTTCCAAAGCAGGGACAAGCATTTTCCTCTGTTTTCTTTTCCCCTCATTGCCCTTTCTGGGCAACCACCCCCTACACCCAAAGTCTGAGGGATATCTACTCCTACAACCTGCCTGCTCTCAATCAATGAAGCTTATGTTAATGCATCACATGCCACAACACCCTTTGCAATCACAAGAAACTCCACAGAGCAAAGCAAACATGGCCAAGTATTTAAGCCTAGTGACTCCGTACACCGCGTGAAATAGGCATCAAAATTAACAGCAGGAGATTTAGAATGCAAGTAGACTGGTGAAGGGGTTTATTTAGCTGGTTTTTCTTGGTTCGGGGACATCAAATTGTAAAGAAATTTTTGCCCAGTAGGTCTGATCGTTTTGATGTCCGTTAGAAATTCTCTCTGGCATTACCAGGTTATTTAGGGTTAGAAGCATGGAAAGTCTGCCACGCTGGCAAACCAACACACCAGATGCTGCACTGCTTGCAGAAAAGAAACTAAGGTATTTTTCAGTTACCTAAAAATATCAGTTGCAAGAAGCAAACACCCATGAACGTTTACTCATCTAGTGACAGCCCAGAAATGAAATGTATTATAGAGAACAACATGCAAAGAATGTTACAGTGCTGAAAGCAGTGAATTATGAGAAACTAAAATACTTTTAAGGATCTGTGTTTAGACAAGCAAACAAATAGGTTACGTGCAATTCAGTAAAGTAACATCTGCTTTAAGGTTTGAGTTCCCACTAACACAGGCGGGTGGTTCAACAAAGTCAGACTATTATGTCAGCCTGCTACAGATCTATTACTGCAGAGGTAGGAAAGCGTTTGCCGGGAGATCACATGGTTTGGGCTTGCTGAGTCTGGGTGATAAATGGATTCAGTTCATCACTAGGTGAAATGGAGTCAGTTTAGGGCTCTACTGCTCTGTTACAGCCTTTCTGTTTGAAGAAGCTTTCTTTCAGTGGGCAGAGGGGATTTGAAAGCAACCATACCAGCTCAGTCAGCTTTATGAAAACAACAAGTATTTGGTGAAGACAGCAACCGTTAACCAAGTCTGTGATCCGAGTCAAAACAAGGCAGGTTCAAACTTAATGACATTAGAATAACTGAATCGTACAGTCAGTTCTTACCAATTTCTCGTATCTTGCTCCAGCAATATCATCCTCCTCCTTTGCTTTGCGATCCCCAAAGCATCGATGGTTCCCCAGCTTTACCAGCAAAGCTTTAACTCTCAGGAGCAGACGCAGGTTTTTCTGTGAGTGAGCTCTTGAGGGCTGCCTTGGTATCAGTCCAGAAAACCAGGCAATGTTCTAATGGTACAAGAGCTGGAGAAGAGCTTTGGTATGGCTTTTTTTTTTTTTTTTCCCCTGGTTCCAGGAGCACCTTCCCAGTCAGAACAAGAGGGTAGCACAACCCTCTAACAGCACTACCCCTCTGCACTAAGAGACAGAAGAGCACCCTTTCCAGGGCTTCTCAGGGCCTGCACATGATCCCATTAGCTTACCATCCCACCTTGTTATCAAGGCTTTAAGGGTGTGTCTACTATGTCATGTGAATTCAGGTGAGGAGTAAATAAGGATGAGGAGAGGAATTGAGATGCTTTTAAAGTTAATGCCCCTAGCTACCGCCCTGTGAGTGATTGTGGAGCACTTGAATTGAATTCCTTTCTGTTGAAACAGAAATAGAAAATAGTTCCCCCAGAAAGGTGTGGTCCCGGGTATGCATGATAATTGCTAAGGGCGGCCGCAGGACCAAACTAGATCTGCTCCAGAGTACCCCCGCCCCTGAAACGCACCAAGTGGGGATGGCAGATCCTCCACGCTCTTCCACCCCACGAACCTGCTCCTGCTGAGCGACAGTACTTGCAGATATAGACATGACCTAGGTGTGGTTTCCAACTCTTGCTCTCAGCAACTTCCACAAGATGGCATCATCACATAACAAAAGGCAGGAAAAACAGCCAAATCCAAAACTCTCTTACGTTTCCTTATTTAATGAAAAAAAAAAAGATATTAAAAAACCCACACAAAGGCATGTGTGGGTATCGACACACACCACTGAAATCGGCGAAAAGTCTCTGGGAGATCTTCTAACTCATAAAAAGGTTTTTGGGTAGATTACAGACCAAATGGGATGCCTCCTAGCTCTACCCAGCAGAGACCAGAAGAGATGAAACATTTGCACACCTGTTAGCAGAAGGCTTTTCTGTCTCTCCTGCAGCAACTGATAGCTAGCTTTCTCACATGCCATATGAAAGCATCTCCCTGTTGGACCCATCCATCTCCATCTTTTTCCTTTGTTTCTGCTCTGTGATAAGACACAGCACGAGAGAAAAAAACCTTTGGGAGTAAAGCAGCCCACAGTAGAAAATACAACTTTGTAGCACATGCAGAGCATCATTCAGGTGATGCTGGAGGTATAACTCTCATGGATGTGTTCAATCACTACACAATTCTTATTCATCTACTAAAATATCAGGAATGCCAATGGAGAAGGCACATGAAAGCTGATTTTTAAAGCAAGCACAACCTCTAAAGGGAAAGTCTGGAAAGAAAGGGAGGAAAAAGAAAGTTTCTCCGGTACCACGCACAGTAGGTCAACTCACAGTTGCTCCTCTGCCCCCAAGATTTTAGCTCAGTCATTTTGTCCTTGGTTAAAGGAAACCTTCCTTTCTGGGAATCAAGTAGAGCAAGTGTCCTGACAATGTGCCTTGAAATCCTTATCAGGGCTGCCTCAGCACCCGGCATAATTCAGCCACTCTGGATTGCTTCTCTGAATGCTGGTTGATAAGAAAAGAGACCCCTTACAGGCAGGAGCAGAGACAACAGTTGCATCTCTCTCTCTCTTTCCTGGAGAGACTTTGATGAGACAACAACAGACAACTGAGATTAACTGTCAGGAGGATTTGATTCACTCAGGAGCACTGCTATCTGATTTCTTCCTCTGGCTTTTTCTTTTTTTTTTGTCCTGTGAAAGCTGTAAATGGGGAACTGAGGCCCTGATAGGCTGGGATTGAGTCATAACCTTGGAATCTTGCACAGCCTGTTTCATCCACAAAGACTGAGGACTTTGCACTAAAAGTATTGTCCTTTGCAAACTGCAGTGCTGCGATGGAGGAGGGGGTGGTCCTGATCCATCCCTGGGAAAGCCAGCAGCTGGCCCAGCGCTTGCCCAGTGTGCTCTCTCCATTGACTCACCCTTTTCTTTGGCATCACAACCACCATCAACATTTTTAAGCAGCCCTGTGGGCTGTTTATTTTCCTCGCTGGATGTTACTTTGGTTTCAAGGTCTGCTGATTTCCTTGTTTATGTACACCCCCAGGTCTGA